GTGCTCTTAACTACTACTGTATTTTGGCCTCAACTTGCTAACCCCAGATTTACTCACTTTTTGGTTTAAACATGCCATGAACTTGCAAGCCTCTGGGCCTCTCCAGTGCTTTTCCCCCGTCCTCCCTCCCTTACCCTCTTTCTACACCTCATCCATCCTCTTCACTGCCCAGCGGCCTCCTGGTGCCTCGACACCGGGTTCAGTGCTCTCCTCCTGGGGCTCCCTCCTCCTCTCTACATGCCCTATATCGCAGCACCCACTCCTTCATCCCGCAGACGGCTATCAAGCACCGACTGTGTGCCAGGCTGGGAATCAGCAGGGAAGAAGCTGGCTATCAGACAAGTTACTACACAACAGCATTTACCTAGGCATATGACTGCTAACCAGAAGGCTGGTGGTTCAAACCCACCAGCCAGCCCTCGGGAGGAAGGTTGGGCAATCTACTTCTGTAGTGATGCCGTCTTGGAAACCCAAGGAGGGGTTGCTCTGAGTCGGGACCTACTCGATGGCAGTGAGGTGGTTTTTTTTTTTTTCCTAGTTGCTGTGTCTGTGACTTCCCCACCCTTCATTGCTGTCAACCCACTGAGAAGCACCAACCTGTTGCTGACCCAGTATCACGGATAAATTCACAAAAGCATCTACATCTCATTTCTGAACTTGGTGTCTTCATGATACCCAACCCACCTGGAGACTCACGAGATGCTTGCCAAATGACAGAATGCTGTAAGGATGCGAATTTGGGGGTGGAAGCCACCACCGCACTTTCTACATGGGCCAGGATTCCAGGGCTATCTTCCAGCCACCCACACGATACTCCCATGTGGAGTCGCTGCCCATGGTGAGGGCTAGGCTACAGTGGGACAAGCATGTGGCTTGCAATCGGAGAGACCTGGGCCTGCCACTTCCAAGCTCAGTAACCTTAAAGCAAATACTCAGCCTCAGTGAACCAATTTTCCCATTAAGAAAATGAGGATGAATAAGATCTATGGACGTGACAGTGGCTCACAGAGTGGCCAGTCCAGAAACGGACGCTCAGTACATGTTAACTTCCTTCCTTTTAGCCCAGTATGTCTCCCAACATCTTAAAAACACATGCCTGCTTTTTTCTCTTTAAATCAAATTAAATTGTAAAATTAACCCTTTGACTAGAGAAAATTTTCAACCATATACCAAAATCAAGAGTTTTGAATAATGAGTCATCTACACCCATCTTTGAGTTCAGTAATCATCATCTCATGGCCAATCTTAAAATCTAGGCCCTTTTGATAAACTTAAACCCCTCAGCTCCTTGGAGGACATTATGCTGAGTGAAATAAGTCAATCACAGAAGGACAAATATTCTATTAGTTCACTATCGTAAAAAGTCAAAGAAAGGTTTACATATGGAAGAAAACTTTATCAGTTACCAGGGATGGAAGAGAACTTTATTTTTCCCAACTAAACTACAAACTTTATTTGGGTTTCACCAGTTGATGGGAGGGAATATTAAGGACAAGTATTGATTTGGGTGAAGGGAAAGGCAACATACCAAAAGTGAGTGACCAACACAATAACATTAAGGAAAAGGAAGACACAGAGAGGTCCACAAGAGGTACTGACAATAAAGATGAACCCTTTTCTATACACCATCCTGCATTATTAGTTAAGAACAAACATCAATCTACAGGTGGATACACACACAGAGAGGCGGAATGATGAGGTACCAGGCAAAAGGGAATATACCCATGAACATATATGTTTGGCAGAAGATATGTCTACATACATATGTGCTGTAAGAATGTCCATATAAATAGAATTAACAGGGGGCAAAGTTACAATAACTTCTGAGCCACAGCCAACCACCCCGAGGGAGCGAGCTCTTGGGCCTGTAGATTCAGCACCATGGTCACAGAGGACATCAAACTCAATTGACATAATATACTACACAAAAACATTTTTCTACATCCTACTTTGGTTAGTAGTGAGTGGGGTCTTAAAAGTTTGCATGTGGCCACCTAGATGCGACAATGCGTCTCTCCTTATCCAGAGCAAAGAAGAATGAAGAAAACCAAAGATGCATGGAAACAATTAGTCCAAGGGCCTAGTGAACCATGCAAACCTCAGCTTATAGGACCCTGAGACCAGAAGAACTAGATGGTGCCCAGCCACCACTGTCAACCACTTGGAAAGGGATCAGTGCAGGAGATCCTGGATAGAGTGGGAGAAAAATGTGGAACAAAACTCAAAATCATAAAAAAGACCAAGTTTACTGGAGACTGGTGAAACCCCCAAGACTATGGCCCCTAGTCACCCTTCAGGCATGAAACTGAACTCACTCCTGTCGCTTCCAGCCAAACAACAGACAGGCATAAAAGGTGAACATTTCCATGAGGTAGATACACTCCTTAGAACAATCAACCATGGGAGACCAGAAGGGCAGCATTTGCACAGGGAGACAGCTCAGAGGGCAGGAGTGCATAGGAAAGAAGGACACAGGGAAAAGGCAACCACAGGAGGGAAGTGGGAAGAGAGCTGTGACATGGGGATTGCAATCACTTCATGAAACTATGGAATGGAAAATGAATTTGCTGTGTGAACTTTCATCCAATTTACAATTTAAAAACAAACCCTCAGTTCCCTCCAGCTTTTAACACCCTGCCCCCAGCCTGTGCCCTTCCAGCAAAGGGTCGTCATGTTCTGCATTATTTTTCTGTAATCTGAGTTATGACATCAAGAGGCTCACTTCCCTTTCCATATAAAAACAAAACACTGCGCTTTTTCACCAAAACCCACTGCCATCTAGTTGATTCCGACTCACAGCGCCCCTAGAGGACTGAGGAGAATTGCCCCATAGGGTTTCCAGGACAGTCAGTGTTTATGGAAGCAGACTGTCTCATCTTTCTCCTGCAGAGCTGCCAGTGCGTTCGAATTGGGGACCTTTCATTTAACAGCTGAATGCCTTAACCACTGCACCACCAGAGCATCTTGCTGTTTTCTGGACATGTGAATTCACATGTCACAGGACATGTGAATTCCGGATTAGCTGAGCCTCTTTGGATCCATCAGGAAACCTCACTTTGAGGTGTCTTCTGCCTCGCTGTCCACCCCACCCCCACCCCCACCCCCAAATCCCCTCTGCTTACCTTGTACTCCCCGTCCCCATGCAAATCTGCCAGCGCTGGAAAACACAGAAGGGCCATAAGCCAGGGTGCTGGGTGCCAGGACATCGGTGCTCAGGGCCCCGAGGCTTCACAGAGGGACCGTTATCTGACCCCGTTCCCATCCTCCCCAGAACCCGGGCTTCCTGGTTCCAGAGACTCACCCAGACAGGCAGAAAAGGTGTGGATGTTGGCCATGGGGTCGTAGTGCGCGTCCAGCCATTTCGAGTTGGCCTCACTGTTGGGAGCCGGGGGGGAGAGAGAGTTGGGAAATATTTGAGTCCCATGGGAGGGGCAGCCGACTGTGCCTAAGGCACCTGACTGCTAACCAGAAGGCAGGCGGTTCAAACCCACCAGCCACTCCTCAGAAGGAAGGTTGGGCAATATACTTTCATAGAGATACTGCCTCGGAAACCCAAGGAGGGGTCGCTATAAGTCGGAATCGACTCTACGGCAGTGAGTTTTTTTTTTTTTTTTTCTTGGTCTTTGAGGGATAGGTGTGCAAGGAGCGCTGGACTGGGGGTACAAACTTCGCGGTCCGAGTCCAGGCTCCGCCTCTGACACCGAGAGACCTCAAGCCAAACCCACGCGCACTCTTTGGGCCTGGTTCCCTATCTGCGAAAAGCCCTGGAAGAACTGCCAACGCCGCCCGAAAACCGCAGGAGCCCAGATCCCAGGGACCAGGGCACTCTCTTTACATCTGCGGAAAAGTAGGCTTTGAGGGTGCCGGCCTTCACCTCTCAGTCCGGCCGCAGTCGGAATCGGATGAAGCTGGAGCAGCCATCTTCGTAGGCGTCGCCCTGGCAACCGGCTCCGCCCCCGCAGCCGCGCATCTCCATTTGCGCTCGGGTGCGGCGAGGTGCTCGTAAGGAAGGTTCCGGGAGCGAAGTTTTCCGGGTCACGCTGCCATGCAGGGTACGCAGACCTCATTGCACGGTTAGCCAAGGTTCCGGGGGGCAATCCTTCCCCCTAGCTCATCTATCTTTGCTCCTTGCCAGCGGGGCTGCCGTCTGCCTTTCCCGGTTTTTAGGCCCTGCAGTGTCTGAGTCAGCACCAGGGCCCTTCTGCTTAATAAACATAACCAATTCCTCATCCAGTCATCTTCATGGTTAACCTAGTTGGGAAGGCACCAGGTCCTTTCTGACCCTAGACCTTACCGAAGAGATCTAGGCTCAGAGAACTGAAGCACAAAGATTAAGGGGCAATGCAGAGAGGAAATCCTAGAATTCTGACAAGTCTAGAATTTCCATTTTTTGGGGGGAGTAGGGAGGTACTCCTGGAATATTTTAAAATGCGAGAAATGCCAAAGGACCATCTATATATCCATTATTTGAAAGGATGTCAAAAACTGTGGTAACTAGGAGGCTAAAATGACCCTCTTGTCTCCTCCCTACTCCCTGGGTGGCCACCAGTTAAACACATAGCTACTGACTAAAAGCTGGGTGATTTGAACCCAACCAGAGGTGCCTCAGAAGACAGACGTGGCAGCCTGTTTCCAGGGTCCCGGCTATGAAAGTCCTACAGACCACAGGTCTCTGCAGCACACGGGGTCACCATCAGTCAGCACTGACTCCAGAGCAGCTGGAGTAGTTTTTGATTTTGCCCCCTCCCCAGGCCTTAATCCCACCAACCTCTCAGATGCAGATGAGAAAGAAGACAAAAGGCAGAGAGGACTAGCACGCACTGTAAAGAAGGTGATTATTTCTAGTATTTATTTTTCTGATTACAAAAGTTAACACATGAAGAGCATTGGATTTGGCGAAAAAGTTTGGAGTCCTGGCTCTGTCATGTACCACCTGCAGGATCTAGACACTTCTCTGAACTTCCGTTTCATCTGGAAAACAGGGTAAGGAGCCCTGCCTTGCCCACTCCCTGGCTGGCAGCACAGATCGAACACAGTCACAGAGGGGAAGCATCTTGTCAACTGGGACAAATGCTGACAAATGGAAGGGTTTAGTGTCACCACCCTCAGCCGAGGTAGCACCAAGGTCCAAGCTCCTGCGCCTCCCCCAGCCCCTCAAAATACACGCTCAAAAGGAGGGCTGCTGCAGCCGTGGTTTGATGGAGCAGGGGAAGGGCCACGCAAATCCTCCTCAAGCCTGGCCAGCTGGGACCTCACTGGGGCTCCTCCAGAATCGGGCATCAGCCATGGCCAGCTGCGTGAGGATCTCCTCCAACTCGGGCCCATCCTCGGGGAAGCGCTCGGAGAAGGATCGGATGAGGCCAGCAGCTGAGGCCTCGTACTCAAGGAGCTGCACCTCAGAGCCTGCAGAGAGGATGGACAGAAAAGAGCAGCAGAGAAAGGTCTGAATAGACAAGTGAAATAACTGCAGTCGTAGGACCTGCAGCTGTGATCAGTCTCTAACCATGTCCAAAAATCGTGCCCAATGTTTCCGGTCCACTCTCTCATTCAATCCTCACGATCTACCTGCTCCTCACTTAGGGACTATCTCGTTATCTGACATTTCCCATTTATGACAATAGTGAAAAATCTACTATCTGACTGTTTGGCAGCATTAACGACGTATGTCTGGCAGTAACGAACACCAAGGTGCAAGACGAGAGTAACACTGGTTGTGATGGGTTAAGGTCATACGTCAACTTGGCTGGGCCATGATTCTCCGTGGCTTGGCAGTTACGACATGATGTAATTTGGCAGTAATGTAATGATGTGGTCATCCTCCATTTTTGCATAATGCTGATTTTTGCCTAACAACTTGATCTTTGGAACCTCACCACGTCAATAAGTAAGAAGTGGGCATAGTCCTCTGAAACCCACTCACTGCCACTGAGTCAATTCTGACTGATAGCAACCCCCACTGGGTTTCCAACGTTGTAAATCTTTATGGGAGTAGATTGCTCCATCTTCCTCCCACACAGCAGCTGGTGGGTTTGAACCGCTGACCTTTTGGTTAGCAGCCAAACGTCTTACCCACTACGCTACCAGAGCTCCTTAGTTCTCTGAGGAAGGGAGTATTAAAGAGTGATACATCACTACTCATTCATTCATTCATATTTTTGCTTACTAGAGGTTGATTGTGTAATGCCACCCACTGGATGCCGTGCTAGGTGAAAGGAGACACAGTGCTTGGCCCTGCCTCCTGGTGCTCACAATCCAGCAACGGCTTCACCTCTGTTTACTGTGGGACTTGGGCAAGGGTCTCAAGCCCCCTAAGCCTGTTCAGTGGGGATAAGCACAGTGCCTCCTCCCTCGAGGCACCCTGGTGATGATTCAAAACAGCAATGCGTCGAGTGAGCGTTCAACAAACGCTAGCTGCCACCAGCAGCACCATCTACAAGCCTATTTCCTCCTCTGTAGACTCACTTCAGGGGCTGTACCCTGAATGCTGATGGGCAGGGCTTCCCTTTAACACATTTCTACTGCTCTCTCACTCACAGCATTGGGCCGTGCTCTGAGGCATTGCGTACAGTTCCTAAGACTATAGGCTCCGGGTTCAGATGGCCCCAGTTCAAATCCTGGCTCTGCCACTTACTGGCTGTGCAACCTCAGGTAAAGACACAGCCCCTCGGTGTCTCAGTTTCCTGCTGGAAAATGGGGGATCACAATCGCACCTTCCTCACTGAGGAGTTAATGCAAGGACAACTTTTCCCTAGTGCCTGACAGACGGAAGTCCTCCAAAGGTAGCCACTGATACCACCACCACACATCCTCTCCTCATCCTCATCACAACTACCTCAGAAAGTCCAACCCACTCTTCAGGCTCGGTTTAACTACCACTTCCTCCCAGAAAGTTCTGTGATCACCTCAAAGGTGGAGGCGGTCTTCCCCATCTAAGTGTCTGCCTCTCTGGGGTCCCCATTAAGGCTTTCCTTGTATTAGTACTCAGCCTCATGTCCTATTATTCCCAATGGTTTGTGAGCAACTCGAGAGCAGGGGGCAAGGCCCGGGTCCATTCACCTCTCCATCCCCAGTGGCTTGCACAGGGCTGCTTGTATCCTCATGACAGTGTTGTCCACCCAACGAGCATTTACTCTGTGCTGGCACCATTCATTCTTTCACACATGTGAAGCTGGGCAGGTCCTGTGTGCCAGCCCCCGGACTAGGTGCTGGGGACTCATTGTTCTCGCTCTCCCGGACACAAGACAGGTAAGAAAAGGCACCAGGACCCCAGGGGCTTTTCATATAGAATGTTTGAGCACAGTGTAGGCAGGCTCAGGGCTTTCTGAAATGGAATCAATGCTGAGAAAGGGGAGGGACCGAGGGGCTGCTAATCTCCTCCACCGAGTCTCACTGTCCCCTGGGTCCCACTCAGCTTGCTGGGTCCCGGTTGCTGCCTGACCTCACCTCACTCCGGGGCACCTGATCCCTCTGACTCTGGTAACGCGACCTGGCCTCCCCATTAAGCCTGGAGTCTCACTGCTCTCCTAGACCTGGTGTGCCGGCCCTCCTTTTTTAAACCCCTGCTGTCGTCATACTACCAGCATGATCCTCAGTGTACGGTGGCATTAGGGGGAGGTGCCAAGGCTTGGCCTGAGGTTTGGCACGGGGAGGGCCACTGCACGGGGAGGGAAAAGGCCACCTAGACAGCCTTCCTGGACCCCCAGGTGGGTTCCAGAACTCCTGTGTGCTCCCCAAAGGCCCTGCATATCCCCCATCAAAGGGAACTCAAAAGCCTGTTACCTTCAAGGCGAGTGTTGGGCTGAACGATGAGTTTCCGGGATTCCTTGCGCAGCAGCACCGTGTCCCTGAGGGTGAGGAAGCACTCGGGGGGTGTGTCCGTGACAGCCGCGTACCCCTCATAAAGGGCCCGCCCTCCAGCCACATCTCCTGTGGACTTCAGCACCTGTGGGAAGGAAGGAAGGAGGAAGTGTCTATGACAGGTGCCCTACCCTGCACCCACAGAGCTCTGCCAGGACCCACGGCCAGTTGCGCCCAGCCCTGGACAATTTGCAAAATGCTTGTCTCTGCCACTTGCTGGCTGTGCAACCTCAGACAAATTACTAGACCACTCTGAGCTGATATTCCTAAATGGGAATAGTATCTCCTCTCTCATAGTGTTACTGTGCAGAGTAAGTGAGAAATGCAGATAAACTGAATGATGGCAGATACATATAGCATCACTGTACCAAAAAGAATTGGTTAATGTTGTGTATGTGTTTAAGCATATAGTAAAGAAACCTATTGCAATCAAGGCGATTCCAACTCCTAAGGATCCTACAGGACAGAGCAGAACTGCCCCACAGGGTTTTCAAGGCTGTAATGTTCGTGGAAGCAGACTGCCACACTCTCCTCCCACAGAGCGCTGGTGGTTTTGATCTGCCGACCTTTCAATTAGCAGCCAAGCACATAACCACTGTGCCACCAGGGCTCCTGTAGCATAGTAAATGCCTCTTAAATTGAAGTAAATGTTTCTCATTTGATCTGAAAACAAAGCAGACATTATCATCACCCTCTTTACAATCACCATCCAACGTAAGAGTTCATCCTTTTGGCCCCTCCTTCCTCCACTGTCTGAGGAACCCGCTGTCAACGATCATTCCCTTGCGTTCCGAGTTTTACTCTCAACAATATAGTAAAAGGTTTTGCCTGTTCCTGAACTTTACATACCGTGTGATTTTTTTCAGCTCAAATCCTGTTTCAGTTTCATCCATGTTATGCATGCAGCTGAAGTTCACCCTTTTCACTGCTGTGTAGTACTCCACTTACAAACACATGGTGACCTAATCTCTTCTACTGTTCATACACAATCTGAATGCTTTGCTGTGAAGTGCTGCTGTGAACATCCTTGTATGTCTTCTGATGCACAGATGCAGGTTTCTTAGACCTGTGGTCCATAGGTTATATGGCTCTTCAGCTTTAAGAGATAATGTCAACGTGTTTTCCGAAGCTGAGGCGTGATTTGCACTCCTTGCTCGGTCCATGAGGCTGGTGTTGGCAGTTTTTAATTTCCGCCAAGCTGGGGGTGGGGGTGGGGGGACACACTGCATCTCACGTGGTTTCAGATACAATTCCCTGATGACCAATGAGCTTGAGCATCTTCCTGTGAGGAGATGGACTATTTGTTCTCCTCTTCTGTTCGTGATTTTTGCTTATTTTTGGGTTGGGTTATCTCCTCCTCCTTCCCTTCAACTTCCTCCTGTGTTTTCTCCTCCCCAGTTCGATGCTCAGCTACAACTGACTGTTGGCTTACGAGCTGGAAGATTTGATTCCTCCATCAAATGATTTATTATCAATATTAAACTTTTTATTGATTTTGGAATCATTTTAGATGTTCAGAAAACTTGCAAAGATGGCACAGAGATGTACCCCTCACATAGTTTCCCTATGTTAACATCTGGTACATTGCTATCAACTAAGCTCTTAACTTTATTTAAGAACCCCAGTGGCCTAACAGTTAAGTGCTCAGCAGCTAACCAAAAGGCTGGCAGTTTGAACCCCTCCAGTGGCTTTACGGACGAAAGACCTGGCCATCTGCTCGCATAAAGATTGCAACCAAGAAAACCCTACGGGGGCAGTTCTATTGTCACATGGGCTGCTATGTGACCAATCAACTCAATGGCACTGAGACAGACTTTAGAGTCCGTGAGCTTTGCCACTCCTGTCTCTGTTCCATTCCGGGCTCCAATCCAAACCACAACACTGTGTTTGGTAGCTGTTGGTTTTTAATTTCTAATTTTACTTTAATGGTCAAACATTTACTTTTAAAAGAAAATGCCTTCAATCTTTTTTGGAAACAGGTGGGAGTATAAAGAGATATCTGCAGGTTGACAAAGAAGCATGGAAACAATTAGTCCAAGCAACTGGTATACCACACCATGCTCAGTCTACATGACCGTGAGACCAGAAGGACTAGACGGTGCCCAGCTACCTACCACTGTCAACCACTTGGAGGATGATCTGAGTAGAAGATCCTGGATAGAGCAGGAGAAAAATGTGGAACAAAACTCAAAATCACATTAAAAAAAAAAAAAGACCAGGTTTGCTGGTCTGATGGAGCCTGATGGAACCCCTGAGACTATGGCCCCTAGCTGCCCTTCAGGTCTGGAACAGAACCCACTCCTGTGGCTTCCAGCCAAACAAAAGACAAGCATATGAGCTGAACATCTACATTAGGTAGATACACTCCTGGGAGAAATCAATCATGGGAGAATAGAAGGGCTGTGTATGCACAGGGAGACAGTTCAGGGGGCAGGAGTGCATGGAGGGATGGACACTGGGAAGAGGTAACTGGGGAGGAAGTGGGAGGGGAGCCGTCGCATTGTAGGAGATTACAGTCAATGTCATGATAAAAAGTGTATGTGAATTGCTGTATGGAAAATGAATTTGTTCTGTAAACTTTCACCCAAATCACAATAAAAACTTAAAAAAAAAAAAGGTATCTGCCGGTTGAAAGAGCCAGCAGGTCCTGTCCCCTGGAAGGTACTGCTCTCTCCGGGTGACGTCCCAGCGGTTCTCAAACTTTGTGGAGCATCGGACCCACCTGGAGGGCTAGTGAACAGGGGATTCCTGGGTCGGGAGTTGGGCCTGAGGGCCTGCACTTCTAACCTGTTCCTGGGTGACACTGATGTTGCTGCCCTGAGGACCACACTCTGTGCGGCACCGGCTCAGATGACAAAAACGAAAAACATGGTTGCCGGTGCGTTGACTCCAACTCACAGCAAACGGCGACCCCGTGTGTCAGAGTAGAACTGTGGTCCATGGGGTTCTCAGGGGCCATGACCTTTAGGGAGCAGGTCTCAGGTCTTTCTTCCAAGGCACCCCTCTGGGTAGATTCAAATTGAGCCGAGCTGTCACTAGCCAAATGCTTAACCATCCTCACCACCCAGGGGCTCCCAGTTTGGCTAACAGGCCATTCTAGCAGTGCCTTCCACTGCTGCTTCACTCGACCCTTATGTGGTGGTTCATTTACCCTAACCAAGTGACAGGAGAACAGTGAGGTCACAGAGGCAAAGCGTGTTGTCCATCACACAGGTGGTGAGCATTGGCACCAGAACCCCAGAAGGTCTCCCGATTCTAAGCATCCCTACCTGGGAAGGGAGGCACAGCCCAGCACTGGCTTCAGAGGGCTCCAGCCCTTGCCAGCTTGGTGGGCAGGACACCAGGGCTGCGCTGACCACTGTCTTTCCTCTGTGTCACTCGCCAGGCCCCAGGCCTATCTGTCCCTCCACCCAGCAAGCTCACTGGGGCCCCAGGGCCTATAAGCCCTCTGTTCCTTCTGCTCTCAGCTCTTCTCAGAGCCAGGTCCTTCGAAGCACTCAGTTCTCAGCTCAGACATCACTCCTCCAAGCTGCCCCTGGTCACCTAGGCTAAGGGCACCCTGCATTCCCTTCCCCGCCATCGCATTTGCTGTCACATCACCAGTTTTACCGTCCTTATAGCTCTTGTCATTACTGGACTTTCTCTTGTCCACCTTATTCTACCTTCCCTCACAGCACTGGGAGCTCCATGTTCCTCTCAGTGACTGGCACCTGGTAACATTCAGATACAGACTGAAGGAATGACTGGCATATACTTTGAATGAATGACTGGCATACAGACTGAATGAATGACCAATATACAGGCTGAAGGAATGACTGGCATATACTTTGAATGAATGCCTGGTATCCAGACTGAATGAATCATCTGCATCCAGACTGACTGACTGATCGGTGTATGGCAGGGATGGATTATCCAATATGGTTCCCTACTAATCTGTGGCGAACAGCTGCACACAGGTTTCACGTATACACTAGTACACAGCCTGACGGAGTGATTGGTACATGGACTGAAAAAGTTATCAGGAGGCTTTGGGGAGGTGTTACTGGGTGAGGAGACAGGCAGGGTTGGGGGACCTCCAAGGCAAGAGGCCTCGCTTACCTGGAGTCTCCGTAGGAACCGCTCCAGGGCAGGCTTGCCCACGGAACGGATCTTGCTGCGGTCCAGGCGGACGCGGGCATCTGGGCGCCCATCGGAGCCTGTGGTAGGAGTGACGGTAACAAGCCCCTCACCAGCCTCCAGCAAGACCCTCAGGATCACAAACCGGGCCTGCATGTGGGCCTGCCGGAACCAGGGAAGAGACGTTTGCAGCCGAGTGCCCGCACCAAGGCCCGACAGATAGTATGTGCTTGTTTCTCAGCTAGTTACCACTGTACCCCCTCCCAGGGGGTCCTTTTCTGCCTGTTCCTCTCACCAGGAACAGGCTGCCCTGGGGGACAGGAAGGCCATTTCCAGGCAGGGCTCCCCTGTGGTCACCCACCACACCCCCCGTAGCTCCAGGTCTTCCCTGATGACAGCCATCCCCTGAGGGCCCCTGGCTGCCAGGACCCTTCACACCTTCTCCACAGTCTAGTGTGAGCTCAACAGGAGGACAAATAGGCATCACTGTGCCCGAGTCACAGATGACAAAACTGACGCCCAGGGAAAAAGCAGGACTCAGACCTAAGTTTCCCGCCTCCTCGTTGTGTGCTTTTTTTATTTTTTCTTTTTAATCTCTATTGCTGAGTGCGTCTCCTACGCACTGTCCCATGCATCCCCCTGGCCGGTCTGGCCTGGGGGTGGGGAGCAGAGCCTCGGGGGGCAGGAGGCTTGGGTTTAGTCCTGGCTCTGCCTCGCACCAGCACGTCACTCACCTTCCTCATCACTGAGACGAGGATGACAAGAGGACTCAGCTCCTGGGGTTAATACTGGGAATAAGTGAGTTAACGTATGGTGAGTGCTTAGCACTGTGCACGGCAGAGTAAGCCTCGGTGAGGCGGCTGTTGTTCCAGGTGGTCCCCGTGTGGGTCCGAGCAGAACTACGCTCTGCGGGGTTCCCAAGGGCTGATTTAAGTAGATCACCAAAACCAAATCCACTGCCATCGAGTTGATTCCAACTCACAGAGACCCCCATTGGGTTTCTGAGGCGGTCAATCTTTATGGAAGTAGATCGCCCAGTCTTCCTTCTGTGGAGTGGCCAGTGGGTTTAAACCACCAGCCTTCTGGTTAGCAGTCAGATGCCTTAGTCACTGCGCCACTAGAGCTTTCACTTGAGGGGCCTCTGGATGGATGGTAACCACCAACTTTTTGGTTAGTAGCCAAGACCTTAACTGTTTGTACCACCCAGGCCAAGTTAGCCATTAGTTGTTGTTGTTGTTACCTGCCGTCGAGTCAGACACGACTCATAGCGACCCCTCCTTGGGTTTCCGAGGCAGAATCACTACGGAAGTAGATTGCCCCATCTTCCTTCCAAGGAGTGGCTGGTGGGTTGGAACCGCCAGCCTTCTGGTTAGCAATCAAGTGCCTTAGGCACTATGCTACCAGAGCTCCTTAGCTAGGAGGAGTAGTAGTCAAATGTGCTCATCAGATTCACCCTGAAAGCTAGGCTGGGAGAGAGATTATCATTCCGTTCTCCAGGGACAGTGAAACTCAGAAGGGGATGCGACTGGGCCCATGAGCAGTGGCCTCTGGGCTTACGCTCAATTCTCCTACCACCTAGGAACGGCTGTCCCGTCCTTGTGCCTAGAATCCTGGCCTTGGCACCCTCTGCAGGCCCCCTCCTCACTCCCACGGACCCTCCGTCCCACCTGTCTCCAGTTGCAGGCCTCAGGGGTGTAGAACTCCAGAGCCAGCAGCCCAGCCCGCACCATGTTGAGCCAGTTCACGTAGACCACGTCTTCCGCATCAGCCCCCTCGAAGCCAAAGATGCTGGAGGAGCAGGGGTGGCAGGGAGGTCAGGGGCTGCCCCAGATCTGCCTCCCACCAGCCCCCCTGCACCCAGTGCTGGCTCCTGCCAGCCGCCCTCCTCGCCCCCAGCTCGTACTCCAGCACTTGGGGGTTGAGACAGAGATAGAGGCCCACGCTCTCGGCCCGGCACTCCTCGTAGCTGGAGGCAATGGTGCTGAACTTGCTGTCCCACGTCTCCCCGCTCCGGTACCAGCTCTGGATCTGGAAGGGGAAGCCCAGGTAGCAGCTTAGGGGCAGCTGCCATCCTGTTCACACCCCCTGCCTGGCAGCCTGGGCTCCCCTGCTCACCTGCTCCCCCGTCTCTGGGTTGATCACAGTCTCCTGGTTGAAGTTGAATGCTCCCTTCTCATCCTGTGGGAGAAGTGCTGTGAACACGGGGTGAGTGAGGAAAGGGTACCCCTGCCCTGGTTCAGGCGTTCAGCCCTGGCTCGGGAAAGTGAGGGGCACAGCGGGTTGATGGCAAGAGCAGCGGGTGCAACACTCGATACCACCAACCCTCAAAGTCCCGTGACACCGCTGCCTTCTCGGAGCCACTGGGCAAGGGGAGGACCAGAGCCACCTCCCCCACCACACAGAGAGGGGAACAGGCCTGGGGACAGCAGGACTCACCCAGAGTCACCCAAGACCCAATACTTCTGTGCTCCAGGCCAAGGTTAGGATGCCTCAGTGAGTGAACTTCCTTCCAAAGGTTCTATTATTACCCCACTTTACCGACGGGCAAACCGAGGCTCAGGCTACAAGTTCCACACTGGAGCTGGCACACACATCAGAAGCCTACTGTGTGCCTGGCAAGCGTGAGGGCTTCCCTTTCATTCTGCACAACCACCCAGGCAGCAGTGGGCATGAAGCCAGCTTACGGATAGACCAGCTGAGGCTCAGGGAGGCAGGTGACTTACCCAAGGCCACACGGTGGCCACATCTGTCCCCACTTCCCTCTTATTTCAGAGTCTGGATGAAGCACTACACCAGGCTGCTGCCCCCAGCACCGTCCTCTCGAGTCCTCCTGTCCCTGCAGGCCCAGCTCTAGGCCTTGCTCCTCCAGGGAGGCAGGTCCAATCCAGAGCCCCACTCTCCCTGGGGTCGTCGCCCTGCGCCTGCCTCCTCCTCTCACCGGTGCAGCTCTGGACTTACATCCCTAACACACTCTTCTCGGCCTGCCCTTTTCCTATTCCCTGAGTGGGGCCGCCTTAGTTGATGGACTGGCAGGAAGAGGCTGCTCTGGGGAGGAAGGGGCTCCCTCTAACAGCTGCAAAGGTGCAAGCTCCAGGGAACAGCAGAGTGAGGACGGACAGAGCTGCATTCAGCACGGGCCTCTGGGGCTGCCCAGGCTCACGCTCGCAGGGCGTGAGTCAATTCCTCCCGGTGAGAAGACTGTGGGGGGGGGACAGCAGCTGGACGGTCCTGGAGAGCCCCCAGCACCCCCTCAGTCCCAGAGCTCCTGGGACATCCTGGGGGAGGATGAGGCAGGGTCTTCCCTGCTCACCGGGAGGGGGCTGGAGCAAGGATCCACCTGGGCCGGCAGCCACACACTCACCTGCACAAAGAGCTTGCCGCTGCCGTGGCCCAGGAGCTCATGCAGCCCCACCTGCACGTCGAACGAGGGCCCCTTCCAGCGGACGTACAGGTCCTGCCAAGACATCAGAGAACCACACTGTCTGCCATCCCGCCACGGGCACACAGCCCACACACGTCCCCTCCCGAGGGCCCAACCCCAGGTACACGCTGGATGGAGGCCGACCGCATGCCAGGCACACTGGGCACCACACAGCCACCTCCTCCCGGAAGTGAACCGAGAGCCCAGTGCTGCCTCCGCTGCTCGACAAATGGGAAAACGGAGGCTCCGAGGCAGCATCCAGCCAGGAAACGGCAGAGCCAAGGCCTGAAGCCACGCTCTCCTCTGGGCTGGGCAGCCTTCCCGGGTCAGCTGGGCCATCCTGCCACCTGGGCAGCCAGAGCTCACCTTGTCATCCTCATCCAGGAAGGTCAGCTTCTCCCGTTGCGTGGCATAGGCCACAGCCAGCACGTTCCCCAGCGACACATTCTTAAAGCCTTCTGTCTGCCTCAGGTCATCATCTGGGGGAGGACAGGGCAAAGCAGCAAAGGTCAGGGGTCACAGACAGGGAGTCTAGTTGAGAGGACCAGGGCTGGGATAATGACACTAGTGGGGCAGTCTGTGGCCAAGGAGGATGTTAAGGGCAGGGACGAATTCTAAATGAAGGTCCCACAGAAGGCTGGAGGTTCAAACCCACCAGCCACTCCTTGGAAGCAAGACTGGGCAATCTACTTCCATAAAGGTTTACTGCCTCGGAAACCCAATGGGGGTTACTACCAGTCGGAATTGACTGGACGGCAGTGGGTTGGTTGGTTTGTTTCTAAGAGGACTGGGAGGTGGGGGCCAGGTCTCGGAAGCTCACAGTTGGGGATGTTGATGCCGGCGGGGATGCCGGAGCCGGCAAAGGTGAGGACGTCCAAGGAGGTGAAGTCGGGGGTGAGGAACTTGTCCTTCTCGAAGGCTGGGGGCCACGGAAGCTCCCTCAGCAGCTGTTCCGCGCTCGCCACCAGCCGCGCGAACTTGGCGCTCATGGCCTTGTTCACCATGGCGACGAAGCCTACAGGGGAGCGTGACCGTGGGTGCCAGGTTCTGGGCAGGAGTCCGCTGTCCCCTACCATCCTGCTACCTCTCCAGCTAGCTCTCCACCCATCGCATATATACTGAATGCCTGCCAAACCCAGTAACCTCGTGCTGGCTGCTGGCGAGGGCGGCGACCTAGGCCTGTTCCTGCCTCTACGGAGGTCAAAGACCAGCAGACAAATAAAGTAGTAAACAAGTGATGTTTCAGGGGGACGGGGGCACAGACAGGCTTCGCTGGGCAACTGTGGATCTTAAAGGAGTTTGTAGGTGGGAGGCAGGGAGTATGGAAGAGAAGCCTGGCAATCTGCATCCAAACAATCAGCCACTGGAAATCCTACGGAGCACAGTCTGACACGAGTCAGAGTCGACCGGACAGCAACTGGTATGGAGGGGTTTGGACCAGATTCCAAGTGGAAGGGGGCGTGTCCCTGAGCAAAGGGGAACCATGAGATGCCCCGTATGGCTGGAGAGAGTGAGGGAGAGGTACAGGGGGGCTGTGACTGATCGTTGCAGAGCTCCTAACTCAAGTAGTAACTGTACTCTATGGAACACGTTTTCTGAGATCCTTCATAAAGAAAGAGTTCCGAGGACAAACAAGTTTGGGCACCACTGCATTCTCGATCTCCAGCATCTAGGAGTCTCTCGATGTACATTAGCACGTTAAAGGCAGGTCGGCGTCCTGCAGGCAAGAGTCCTGCTGCTTCTTACAGACCCCGTCTTGATGTCATTCCTATTAACGCTGCATGGAATCAACCAGACAGCAACTGTTTTTTTAGTTATTTAAAAGCATGTGGCAGGCCTGTATGTACTGATAGGAAATGATAGCCAAGATACCTTGTTACATGAACAAAGCAAGCAGCAGAATAATATGAAGGGCAGAATCCCACTTCCCTGGATGAATTACAAGTAACCTCTGGGTATCAGTGCTTCCGACAACGGTGGACAGCCATGTTCTCAACCGTTTACTGCAGTGACCTCTGGGGAGGGGGACGGGGTGGGGGAGGGCAAACAAGCGGGATTTTATCTTCTCTCCTGCATCCACCTGTACCGTTCAATTACTTACAACAAATACGGATTTCAATTACATACACTTAAACATTTAAAGCTCTGTATACAAAAGACAAAGTGCATATCAAGTATTAACCTGGGGGTGGGTATTATCTCAGTTCCTTTTTTTTTCTTCTCCGTATTTTCTTAATTTTTCACCATGAACATGAATACCTTTCTAAGAATCACAATGCACTCTTTTTAAAAGGGGGAAGGGAGGGAGCGAGGGGTCTTTGCAGCCATGGCCTCTGAGGCGGAGGCTGGGCTATCGTACACTCTGCCTGGGGTCTTAGCCACCAGCCAGCTGGCTGAGCTGCTGAAGGAAAGCCATAGATCGATGATCTTGTTTTTGTCCTTCTCATTATCCAACCTGCTTACTTTATTACTATTTTTAAAGGTAGTTTTTCCAGCATTTTCTTTCTTTCTTAACTTTTATTGTTTTGGGTGAAAGTTCACAGAGCAAATTGGTTTTCCGTTCCACTGCTCACGTTTTGTTTCACGAAGACTGCAATTCCCACGCTGTAGCAGCTCTCGTCCCACTTCCGCCCTGTGGTTCCCATTCCTCATTCTTTCCTATCCCTTTCTGCCTTCTGAGCTTTATCCCCAGCCAAAAGCTACCCTTTAGATCACTCTGAGGCTGACTGTTGTAAGGAGTGTGTACCTCCCAGGTGTGATGTTCACCCCACAGCCTGTCTTGTTTGGCTGAAAGCTGAACTACCCGTGAGTTCAGTTCTAGGCCTGAAGGGTGATTAAAGACCACAGTCTGGGGTGTGTGTGTCTGTCTGTGTGTGTGTGCTAGGGCTGATCTTTTCTCCAGCCAGGCCCCTAGGGATCTATGGACCCAGATCAAAGCCTCTGCGGGCTGCTGGAACTTCCCTCCCAGGTTAATCTCTCTGGCTTCTGGCACCCAGACACTCCAGACGCTACATCCCAGGGAAGGGTAAGCGCCGGCAGAGACAAGTCTATAACCTCAAGCCGGGTGCCCTGCCTTGCACAGGTGGTCCCGCAAGGGCGAGGCGGTGAGGGTGAGGCCCTGGGATGAGTCTGGTTCAAGCCTAACACTAATGCTTATAGCCATTCCATTCCTGGAGCTCCCTATGTGTGGCTGGCATCATGCTAAGCAGTGTGCCCGCATTATCTCACTTCCCACACCAGCCAGAAGGGGTAACTGATGCTCAGGGGTCGGGCTAAGTGGCCCGAGGTCAGGCAGCCAGTGAGTGACAAGGCTGGGCTTGGAACACTCGTCCATCTGGCCCCAAGTCTGTTCCGAGTGCAGATAGTCAGGGTGCCTGGGTCCAGCCACCCACCATTGGGCCTCAACTCCCACACCTGTCGAGTGGGGATAAAAACCCACATAGGATGATGACATCCACATGAATCAATAAAGGTGAGCGCCATACAACAGAGCCTGGTACGTGGTAAATGGTCAGTGCTGGCTACTGTTATTAAGGAGCTCTGGTGGTGCGGTGTGGTTAAGGCACTTGGCTGCTAACCATAAAGGTCGGTGGTTTGAACCCACCAGCTGCTCCACGGAAGAAAGATGAGGAAGTCTGCTTCCGTAAAGGTTTACAGCCTTGGAAATCCACTGGGGGTCGCTATGAGTCAGAATCGACTTGATGGCAATGAGTTTGGTTTATTTTGGTGGTAAATACTGCAAAAGGGGGAGGGGAAGGGGACTTTGACCTGACCTCCCTCCACCCCCAAGGTTACCTTCAAACTCTCCGCGGGAACCAAAGGGGTCACGGTAGCTCTCGATGAACCCGATGTAACTGGGGAGAGAAGGCAGAGATGGAGGAGAGAAGGGCGGGAGGGGGTGGAGACGGGATGAAGGCAAGGTCGCCTCACCTCTCCACTATGGGACCTTTGTCCTGGATCCAGAAGCGGGAGCCCCTCTTGTGAGCCTCGATGGAGCCCTGGGTGAAGCTGTCCACATACTGGGCCAGCATCTGCTCCTGGTGGCTGTTGGCCGCATACGCCTGGGGGAACAAGGCTGGGTCACACTCCCCTTTGCTGCTCAGTGGGGTCCTGAGCCCGTACCCCTGACCCGCCCTACCTTGGCTTTCTCCAGGTGCTCCACCACTTTGTGGAGGATGGGCGCGTAGTCCCCCCGCGTCACCTGGAAACAGCTCCCCTGGAATTCGTAGCTCTTCAGCTTGGAAGTCACTTCCGACTCCGGAGCAGGCTCTGAGGGCAAGAGGGATCGCTCAGGGAAAAGCCAGCGTAAAGCATCCCAGCAGGCTTCCTACTTGGCACTCCTTCACTCTAAGATCTTCAATGGCTCCCCACTGCCTACAGAAATAGGACGACCTCTCACCTTCCAAATATATATATACATATACACATATATATAATCGTTTGCCTAGAGCAACAGAGGAAGGAGTCAGGAACAGGAGGAAACAGAGTATGTGGCTAATTACCTCCATGAACAACTACCTCCATTGCCATGAGAACAGAAGAACTGGCTGGTGCCCAAATACCATTAATGAGCATTTCGAGCAAAAATTCTACAGAAGAATCTTGATCAAAAGGGGGGGAAATGCAGAACAGAATTTCAGGTTCTTATGGACTCCAGATTTTCTGGAGCCACGGACACTGGGGAAGCCCCAAAACAACGGCCCTGAGATAATCTTTAAACCTTAAACTGAAAGTATCCCCTGACGTCTTCTGACGACCAAATAATAGTTTAGCTTAACTAGTAAAGACTGTCTGCCTTAAGTATTATGCTTTTTTGAAAATTGTCTACATGGGATCATACTGACAATTAAAAACTTCCGTGGAGTTGGACCCAACTCATAGCAACCCCTCCTTGGGTTTCCAAAGCGGCATCTCTACGGAAGTAGATTGCCCAAACCTTCCTTCCGAGGAATGGCTGGTGAGTTTGAACCACCAGCCTCTGGTTAGCAGTCAAATGCCTTAGGCACTGTGCTACCCGAGCTCCTATATTGACAATAGCAACTTGAAATATTAGACAGGAACCTTAGAGGCAGCGCTCAGGCTACTGAGGGAAAAAAGTTGAGAACGGCTGTACAACTCAAACAATGTAACAATGTCGCTGAATTGTACCTGTAGAAACTGTTGAATCAATACATATTTTGCTATGTATATTATTAATAGCAACAACAAAATACCTGTGTGTGTATGTGTATGTATGTACTAACAGCAGTCAAGAAATGAAATGATGTACTGCATTGGGTAAATCTGCGGCAGAAGACCTCATTAAAGTGTTAAAAAGCAAAGATGTCACCTTGACAACTAAAGTACGCCTGATCCGAGCCATGGCATTTTCAATCACCTCATATGCATGTGAAAGCTGGACAGGAATACGGAAGACAGGAGAGTGGATGCCTTTGAAGGATGGTGCTGAGTTTTGAATGCTGAATACCATCAAATGCCAGAAAAACAAAGAAATCTGTCCTAGAAGAAGTCCAGCCAGAAGGCTCCTTAGAACCAACGATGACAAAACTTTGTCTCATGTACTTAGGACGTGTGACCAGGAGGGACCAGTCCGTGGAGAAGGACGTCATGCTCGGTAAAGCAGTGGGGTCAGCGAAAAAGAAGACCCTCCACAAGGTGGATTGACTCAGTGGCTGCAACAGTGGGCTCAAATGCTGTAAGGATGGGGCAGTACTGGGCAGCGTCTCGATCCGTAATACGCGGGGTCGCCACGGGCCAGAACTGACTCAACAGCAACCCAACAGCAGCATATATATATATTGTGTAACACGCATCGCTGTGAGTCAGCTGGACGTGTTAACCGGTTTATTCCTCACATCAACCCTACAGGAGAGGGACGACTATTATGTCCATTTACAGATGGGGAAACTAAGGCACCGAGAGATTAAGTCACACCGGTGGCAAGTGGCAGAGCAGGGATTCAAACCCAGGGCAGTAGGTATATTTAAAGTGACAGTGACAGTATCTCCCATCTCACGGGTTCTTCTTCAAGGTGACCCTGACACTTCTCCCATCAACAGGTGGGGGTCTACATCCCCTTCTCTTGAAGCCAGGCATGCTTATGCGACCGTGGCAGTGATGCCAGGTGACTGTTGAGGCGAGGTCCTACAAGGAGAAGCAGCTCCTGATTGGTTCTCCTGGGACACTTACTCTCAGAACCCAGGCAGCGTGAGCAGTATCAAGAGGCCACGTGAAATGTCTCAGTCGGTCGACAGCCCTGGCCCAGGTCCCAGCCGACAGTGACCATCTGTTGCCACTGGGTGAGGGACTGCGCCTTCAGATGGTTCCAGGCCCAGCTGTGGAGGACCCCCCAGCCCCCCGTCTTCCCGGCTGAGTCCCCAGATGCTGTTGACTACAGACAAGCCATTCCGACTGGCCCATCCAAGTTCCCAGCCCAGAGAGTCCGTGAACATCATAAAGGGCTGGTTTTCTATCACTAAATTCTGGGGGTGTCTGTTACAAAGCTGTCAACAACTGGTGGCTCAGTCCCTCGGCTCCAGAGTCACTCTCTTAACCACTGTCCTGTCCCATGAAACCAGGTGCCATCAAGTCAACGCGGGCTCACGGCAACCCCGTGTGTTTCAGGGTAGAACTGTAATCTAGAGTTTCCAAGGCAAGCTCCCGTAAGAGGCCAGTGGCAACATCGGTCACTCCATGGAAGGCAACTCCCCCACTCCACCCGTGTCTCCCCCTCCACACCCCTGTATCTTTACGGTCACTCCAGAGCCAGGGATGAAGGATATTATAGCCGTTTCTGCCTCTGAAAAGATTGGAAGGGAGCCAGAGACATGGAAAGGGGGCTTGGAGTTGACCTCTGACTCAGAAGGGGGGGGTCTCAGAGGCTCCAGCTCGAGTCTACAACTCATGCTTCATTTTCACCCCAAATGAGTATCTCTATTGACTGACCTTTGTCATTGCTATCAGGTGCCCTCAAGAATGTTCCACGTACAGCACAGAGAAACCCCGCCCAGCCCCGCACCCTGCTCAGTCACTGCGTGTTGAGCCCCTCACTGCAGCCTCTGCGTCAGTCCGTCTCGTTCAGGGTCCTCCCCCTTCTCGCTGACCTACTTTACTGAGCATGATGTCCTTCTCCAGGGACCGGGCCCTCCTGACAGTATGTCCAAAGTAAGCCAGAGGGCGTCTCACCGTCCTCAGTTCTAAGGAGAACTCTTGCTGTACTTCCTCCGAGACAGGTCTGTTTGTTATTCTGGCTGTCCACGGTGTACTCCATTTTCTGTGCCAACACCGTAATTTGAATGCCTCAAATCTTCAGTCTTCCTTTTTCACCGTCCACGAGGTGTATGCACGAGGTGATCGAAAATGCCACAGCTTGGGTCAAGCACACCTTAGTCATCGAGATGATCTTTGCTTTTTAAGATGTTAAAGAGGTCTCTGCCAGCAGACTGGTGCAGTGCAGTATGTCGTCTCACTTCCTGACTGCTGCTTCCACGGGCGCTGACTGTTGATCCAAGCACTATATGTTTTTGTGCAAATGACACATGCCTTCCACATCTATCTGCCCATGGGCCACCCAGGTATTTTCCTAAGTATCACCGTGTCAATTTTTTTTTAAAGTTTCTGAAGGGGAGATAGCAGTTGGCAAACAAATACAGAAGGCACGTATTATTTGTGGAAAAAATATAGTGTAATGGAATCCTTGACAACTCCTGTATTTTTTCTATTCCTCATGATGTTGCTTATTGGTCCTTTGGCCCCTAGTTAAACACCTCTGGTCACAGGGTGCTCACTACCTGTCAAGGTAACCAGAGTACCTTTGGGCAACTCTGTTTTTACACCATCCCGGAGGGAGGTGGTACCCCACTGTGGTGCTCAGGAACCTGGGGAGCCAGACAGACCTGGTTTAGGTCCAGGCACCCCCACTTACTGGTTAGGTAACTTTGAGCTAGTTACTCAGCCCCTCTGAGCTTCAGGATCACAGTGGAAAAGCAAGTGAAGGACCGACTCCTCCTTGCGGGGTTCCTGCTAGTACTGAGTGGTACCTCCCAGCAGCACTGCTCTGACGCTGCGGGGGTTTGAATCCTGCTCTGACATTTAATGGCTGTGTGACACTGGACAAATTACTTACCCTCTCTGTCTTTTGCAAAAGCGTCTTCTTTGAGGGGATGATAGTAAGGGCACTTGTCTCACAGGTACCACCCAGCAGGGCACCGAGCTCAGCCCCCAATAGCCCTTCCATCAGCCCAGCTACAGCTACTGTCACTGTTCCTGTGGTGACACAGGTTAACCAGGTCCAGCCGCCACCACTCTGGTCCAGGAATGCCAAGGAAGGATCAGAAGGAGCACAGGGAACGGGGCGCCCAGATCTGAGCTCACCTGCGCCAAGCACGGAAGCCAGCCGCACCTCGTAGCGTGGCTTCCCGTCCTGGCTGGCCTCCTTGAAGAGCCGCGTGTTGTAGGCACTAAGGTTCTGCAAAGACCAGGACAGGGGCTTGGGTGAGAGTGAGAACTCGAGAAGGCTATGGGGCTGGGAGGAGGGGAGCGAGGCTCACACCAGAGAAAAGACAGGCAAGCTGCGGCATCGTGGACGGACAAGGAGTCTTTCCGCCTCAAGGACCCAATGGCTCCAGGCCTGAGCCGAGGCTAACAGCGGACATCAGCTGTGAGGGGGTTGGGATGAGGCGCCCTATCAAACCACCTCCCTGAGGCCCCCAGCCCCAAACCTGAGCATCCAGGAAGTCCTGGGCCAGTTTGGCATCCTCCATGGTACAATCCCCAGAGAAATAGGTGGTGACTCCCTGTTGGAGAAGGAAAGGGAGACAGAAAGAAGAAGTGTTGAGGTGAGAAGCTTGCAGGGCGTCTGGTGAACCCCTCTCTGTGGTATCCTCTCCTGCCAGTGGCCTCCACCCAGCCCCCTCCACCATTTTCTCCCATTTTTCATCCATCTTTCCAAGGGGGAAAAAGTGTAAAAAAAAAAAAATCAGAAAGAGAAAAAGAACGGGAGAAGAGTCCACGTTTTCTCATCTGGGAGCAGATTCAGTCAAGTGCCCCAAGTTGCCCAGCGTGTGCCCCCAATGTCCCGATCCCACTCCCCAGACACCCCACCAGCCTCTCCTAGGTGGCCCACCCAACCAGCTCCCATGTCCCCCACCCCCACGGGCATCCTCCAGAGGCCGGAAGCCTGAGACCCTCTCTCCTCGGCTCACTCAAGCTCTCTCTCAGCTCTTCTCTCCTGCCTTCCTCTGCACCCAGCATCCTGGGATGTGAGAACCAGGAGGGCTCCCCATCCAACATGCTTCCCATCCCACCGATGACAAAACTGAGGCCAGTGGTAGGGAACAGCCTCGCCCCTGCGCCGCAGAGCTGGGATTTAAACCCAGGGCCCTGACACCCCTAGCAGGTGGCCTGGCAGGACGCTGGCCGCGCCCCTGTGTGGGTGGGGGCCTCACCTCCTTCCCCAGCCCCAGGTGTCGAAGCCGTGGCTCCAGAGAGAACATGAGCTCCCCGCAGGTCTGCCAGAGCCTCCTGACTTCTTCGGGGTGCTGCTGTGCAGCCACGCTCCCCAGTATCACCCGCTCCAGCTTCTCCTGCGGGGGAAGGGAGGCCATCAGCCCAGCCACACCCTCAAAGCTGCTCTCCGAAGCCTCCACACGCTTTTCCCACCGTGTAGGGCCGCTCACCGGGTGGCCCATGGGCCGGGGACACGGACCCACTAGCAGCTGTTGATTCTGACTCCCAGCGACACCACGTGTGCAGAGTAGAACTGCCCCATAGGGTTTTCAAGGCTGTGACCTCGCAGAAAGATCGCCAGGCTTCTCCTCCGTGCTGCCTCTGGGTGGCACCAGAGGTTTGAACCACCAACCTTTTGGTCGGGGGCGGGGGGGGGGGGGGGGGCAAGCACTTAATGATTTGAGTCGCCCAGGGACCCTGCAGGCTGACACTGACTGAGCCACGTCGAATGTCGGGCCCCCCCCCAGTCAGACGTTGATCTGAACAAGGGCGCCAGTGCTCAGCTGGGGACATCTGAGAAGGCCTGGTGGGTGAGACATCTCTGCCCCCTCCCCCGTCGGCTGGGCTCGAGCCCCACAGTCCCAGGGCAGTTGTCCCCAGGCCCAGGCCTCTCCACTGGCCCCACTGATGACCAACAGGCTCTGTTCTTGAGAGCACCTAAGAGTCCACGGAGCACTTCCACCTCCTCCCCTCACTCGACCCTCGGGGCGGCACAGTCAGAAAGTGCCTCCTGGTGCCCTCCCACGTGAGAAGGTGCACGCTCAGCGAGGCCGGGCAGCCCCAGCGGCCACACAGCCACTACTGGTATTAAAGATGGAAACCGAGGCCCAGAGAGCTGCGAGCCTCGCCTGGCTCCGCAGTAGGAGGGGCCCGTGACAGAGACCTGAATCTCTAGACTCCAAGCCCTGGCCTCTGCCTTCTCTGACCCCTGGCCCCCTTATCCAGAATTCTCCAGAACTTTCTTCAATACTCTCTCCCTCCACACCAGGTGTTCACACACGGGAGGGACAGGCTCCAGGGTCCTCCCAGGGCTCCTACTGCTTGTCCCCACACCCCCACGTTCCCACTTTCCCCAGGCCTCCTGCAGCTCACCTTGGGCAAGTTGGGGACAAACTTGGTGTCACCGAAGGACTTGTAGTTGCCCATGTTGGAGTAGACACCGGCAGCATAGACCAGGAACGCCTGGGGGACGGGGGGTGTCAGAGACCCAGAAGCCCAGCCTCCCCGACCCCAGGGAGGGTTCTCCTGAGAGGCTAACACCCCATAGGAACAGGTCTGAGTGAGGCTGGGAGATTTAGAGGCAGGACCCAGACCCTGGGAGGCTCCCAACCAGCCCCAGCATACTCCCACAGAACAATCTTCACGCATCCATTTCAGCCAAACTGTCCTCTCTGTGGTTCCCAAACTCGCCCAAGCGCTTGGTCCCCTCTGCCTCCTCCAGCCCCAGCTCCCTCTCTGCCACCTGTGGCCATCTCGCTGCCACCTGTGGCCATTCCAGCTGGCCTCTGAGGTCCCAGTTCAAACACCAACCACCTCCTTCTCAGAAACCCCGCCCTCGGCCCTCTAGCCCATCAGGCAGCTGGTATCTGAGCCATCAGTGTTCAAGCCGGAAGGAGCTCTGTCATCTACTCCACAGTGTCTGCTGACCCCAAATCTATCCTCTCTTCCTCTGGGAATAAGACCTCAAGCTTTCCTCTGTAGGAGCATCTCACCCAGTTCCAGAAGCGGCCACCCAATCTGGCTCGGGCAGAAAGAACACCACTTTCCCTGGTTAACAGGGATGATTCAGGGGTGGGTATCAGATTCAAACTGGCCAATATGAGCCCTACCCAGGAAATTTCCAGGTGCAAAAAGCCTGTTTTATACCAGGCACCACCAAGCCTGGAGCCCTGGCGCTCTGTGACTGAAATGAAGAAAGCAAGCAAAGCCAAGAGAGACAAAGATTGCATCCTGGCAGTATCACTGAGCTCCTGGATCCAGCCGTGCCTGAAGCCTCCTCTACCCCTGGGCTTTCTAATTATGTGAGTCAATAATTCTTTTTCTCATTTAAGCCCATTTGAACTGGGTTTCTGATGCTTGCAAACCAAAGAATCCCACTGAAAACAGTTGATGCGTAGGCAGCACTTTTCCACATACAAGCACTTCCCTAGACACTAGTTCTTTTAGTAGAGAAATTGAGGCCTAGAGAGGGGAAGTAGTTTCTCGAAGTTCAAAGGGG